GTCCAGCCACGTTTCATCTTCATCATCCTGGTRGATGGAAGCAGATTTTTATCAAGAATGTCTCTGTACATTTTTCCATTCTTTCTTCCTTCAATTATTTGAAGTTTGCCAGTACCATATGCTGAAAAACAGCCCCACACCATGATGTTCCCACCTCCAAACTTCACTGTTGGTATGGTGTTTTTGGGCTGATGTGCAGTGCCATTTGACCTCCAAACATGATGTGTATTCTGGCATCCAAACAGTTCAGTTTTGGTCTCATCTGACCAGACTATATTCTCCCAGTATTACACAGGCTTGTCTAAATGTTGTGCAGCAAACTTTAAAGGAGCTTCAACATGCTGTTTCTTCAGCAGTGGAGTCTTGCGTGGTGAGCGTGCATACAGGCCATGGTGGTTCAGTGCATTACTTATTGTTTTCTTTGAAACAAATGTACCTGCTAATTCCAGGTCTTTCTGAAGCTCTCCACAAGTGGTCCTTGGCTCTTGGACAACTCTTCTGATAATTCTTTTCACTCCTCTGTCAGAAATCTTGYGAGGAGCACCTGGTCGTGGTCGGTTTATGGTGAAATAATGTTCTTTCCACTTCTGAATTATGGCCCCAACAGTGCTCACTGGAACCTTCAGAAGTTTAGACATTCTTCTGTAACCGATGCCATCATTATGCTTTGCAATAATAAGGTTGTGAAGGTCTTGAGAGCTCTTTACTTTTACCCATCATCAGATGTTTCTTGTGTGATACCTGGCCATCATTTGGGACTGAACCAGCTGATATTAATTTGCACTGACAAGGGGCAGGCTTGCTTTCTAATTACTGAGAGAGTTCAGCTGGCATCTTGGCTTTCCATGCCTTTTTACACCTCCCTTTCTTCATGTGTTCAATACTTTTCCCTGTGCCATTCCACATTATTACAAATAACTTCATTTCTGGACATTTATGGTTTGATTTCTTTGTATGTATGGATCACTTGGGTTGTTACCGACATCTGGTGAAAATTTCATGTCATTAGCACCTCTAGTAATATATTTACTGARAAAAATGTTGACGTGTTCAATACTTATTTTACCCGCTATGTATTGCGAAAAAATTCATGCCTCTGTGATGAACAGTTAAGATAATTGCCTGTGAAGCAACAGRAAGTGATGTCATAGAGGAGTGTCTATGTGAACAGAGCGTTTAACATCACAGACTGTAAAGAAGAATCTGATGTTTCTTTAGGTAATTTTGAGTCACTATCAGAGAGCAATGAAGAAGAGTAAGAGTTTGTTTCAAGAAACAATTGACCTTTCTTAAAACATTCCCCTTTGATGTCACTTCCTGTTTGACTTCGGCTCGGCCCATTTCAAAACAAAATATGTCAGGTGTGTGACAAAATGGATAAAGTCGTGTATTATGCCAAGTATCTCAAATATAAAGATGTTTTTTTGACTTTTCTTATTTGAAGGATGTGCATACAGGCACCTTAATATGCATGGATAAAACCCAACAGTTAATTTCTGCTTTTAGGGAAGTTTTTAAAGAAAATAATTCAAATCTTTCATCCATTTGTAGCTGTTTTGGCATACCATGCTAAGTGTTAGCTTAGTACCTGTAAGACTAAATGAAAAACTGTCGTTTTGGCTTTTTATGATCAGCTGGCCATGGCAGCAATATCAAATCAAAATGACCCCAAAAAGTTAAACATTTTTACATATCCGTCAAAAGAATATTTTCAGCAAGTTTCATTAAAATTGAAAAATTTTAAACCTTTTTAAAAGGTTAAATAACCTGTTATGCAAATCTATAGGAAGAATTTTAAAGATGCTATTGTAGAGGAAGTTTGCTAAGAAGTAGTTAATTATTTAAATGCACTTGCATTTYTCCTCCGGCTCCTCACAGAATGCACAGACTGAAACCATGCCTAACATGTTCTAAGCAGACAAGGACAAGATGTGAACCAGGCATATTTTATTTCTGAGTGGTGTTGGAATGAGCTTCTTGTGTTCTGCGAGTTCTTTCATCTCTGAGGTGATAACTCTCACAGATGATGCTGAGCCTAAAGGAGTCTCACCTCGCTCCCTGGTGCATTGTTTTCTCTTTAACAGTGCGATTTGCTGCCAGTTGACTGATAACCATGACTCATGCTGTGCTAACCCAAAACAGGAAGAGGATTTACCAGAATATGAGACAYACAGATACACATCTGTCTGTCCGTCCATCCAGCCCTTTTTATACCGCCTGTTCAGAACCTGAATATAACATAAGGTGTTCCCAGGTCAGCTGAGGTATAAAAATCTTGCCACTGAGTCCTGGGTCTGTGCAGAGACCTCCTCGCTATAATGACACATCTCAACTGGCTCTTTTTGATTGAAAGGGACAGTGACTACACTCTGAYCCGTTCCTCAAAAGGCTGCACCCCTTGTCTTATCCCAAACAGTGAGCCCAGCCATTCCTCAGTGGAAACCTTTCATGAAATGAGCATTTCTTTTATTTTAATCAGATTGTGTTTAACAAGAACAGAGAGCATAAAGAATGATTGATTTCACACAATCAAACCATTACTTTAAATTAGGGACATTTAGCCTATGGATAGGCTTTTAAGGATAATTAAAATGTCAAAAAGTACCCATTCAAAAGTCAAGTCTTTTCCTCACTTTAGTGCAAACTAAAAGTGAAGATTGGAACACAGACTGGTGAAGTTAGTCTGTGATTCAAGCACCTGCTTGAATCTGCCTCTGTTCCCATCAGCGTTTCACCTTTTAAGTTTAGCACTTTTTTTTTTTTTACCTCAGCAGGTCAGAATAACGTCCACTCACTGCAGACACTCCACCTGTCAATCTCCCGCTTCA